CAAGGAGATTTAAGAAAGATCATTATTTACTTAGAACATTTTCATCTTCACCTAGAGAAGTATTGCAAACATAGTGAGTTATTTAAAGAGATGTTTTATTTCTAGACATATAGTAATGTATGGGATTAAACTGTCATCGGATATTCTATAACTATTCAGTGAAAACTCCTGACAGAGAAACCTCTTCTGTCCAAAATGTCAGTAGGAATCTGTCAGGACATTTGTGTTCCACTTACACCTGGAAATCTGATTCACAAAAACAACTCAATCAGTTGAGGACATGTAGAGCCTCGCTGAGATGGATGAATAAAATCCAGGTCTTGCTGGAATCTATTTAAATCCCAGAGGCCTGGATTGAGACCTGGATTCCACTGTGACTCTTTGTGCAGTGCTCTTAGTACCTCTCCATAGATTGAAGAGGTCTTAAGCTTTGTTAGTAAATGGTCTTTTTGGAGGTCCTTTAATCAGGAGTGAATATCCAACAGACACAATTATTCTAAAAAATGTTACTTCCTACAACATCTTACATAGCGATGGTGAGGATACAAATGAGTGCAAAATGGACATTCTCTCCAGTTTATCTCCAGAGGTGAAATGCTGGGAAGATGCTCCATATCATCTTTCTGATTTGAGGAAAGATTTTAATGTTTTGGGTCTAAGCACTTAAATAGAACTAAGGAGACTTTCTATCTGACTCTTGAACTTGAGAAATTGGTCAAAACACCCCTTCACATTCACTATGTTCTCCATCTATTTGAAACTTTTGAGCAGTAAGACACTCACCATGACCCTCATTGGAATCATGAGCTCAAAAGATTTTTGCAAATTTTGTGTTTCAAATATTTATGTTACTTGAAAATAATACCTTCAGTTTGATTTAGATGAATATTTGAGAATATTTGAGCAGAAAATTGTGTGGCAGTAAAGCTTTCAATTATTTTAAACAGGCTTTATAGACAAATTATTGAAGATTTTTCTTTAATAAAGCAGAGTGGCATGCTATCGAAAGGCACAAATACATTTCCATTATCTGGTCTAGGAAACAGAAAAAATGTCATGATGATTATACTACAGTTTGATGGTTGGCACTTAAATAAATAATCAAACTAATTACCATCATGAAAAGAAAGCCACTTTTTTTTTGGATGAACATCAATGCAGAGGCTGAAGACAGCAGTTGGGATTTACTGCACCAGGGACTGATGTCAAACAGCCTTTATAGATGATGGCCATGGTGTAACTACGTTGTAGATATCTATGAAGAGATAGAAAGTAGGCCCAGTCCTGCAAGGTCTCTTATGAAAGTGCATCCATCTTTCCACTCACATCCACCCCACTAATGTCAGGCTGGTGCCATATAAGGGGTGGGTTCAACCACACAAAATTTCTTGCAAGACTGAGGCCTGAATAAATTAATCTTTGTCACATTAGGCATTAGCATCACCAGAATAGCAAATATTTCTGCAACCACAAAAAAACCTTGTAAGTCAAAAAAGGCAAATAAACAAACAAAACCAGGAAAAACCTCTCCAGGGAACGTTTGATTACTAAATTGTAAAATATTAATTAAAAATTTGTTATTATTGTGGTAAATCAGAACTCAAGTCCACTAAAAAACCAAAAAAATAACAAGGAGCTTTAAGTAATTTTACTTAATTTTACTCCTTTTTGTTTTTTGGGGTTTTTTTTGGTTTGTTTTTTTGTTTTTTTTTTTTTTTTTGAAAAGAGATTGTCACTGCCACATTTTGTTCAGTACTAATTTCAATGGCTCCCTCCCACCTTGGTCCCTGGAGTATGTTAGTGTAACAATTCAGATTACTTTTACAAATAGTTATATTTTGTCAACTCTTCTGACATTTCATACTAACACTTAAAATTACTTTTAGACAGTAAAAGTGACATTTATACAGATATCTGTTTTTGCTTGTTTTGTTTTGTTTTAAATCTAGAATAGGAAAAGAAAATAAACAAGTGTTGTTATTCCAGTTCTACATATATCTTACAAATTACAATGCACAAATTATTTCCTCATTTGGAAATATTTGGAACTATTTTGAAATATCAGTGTTTTCAGCATTCTTTCATAGTGAGAGTTTGGTTTTCTCCTGCACAGCACAGAGTTAAAGCACAAGAGATAACCTGTTAATCCACAGACCAAAAAGGTGTGCTTGGACAGTCCATCAGAAATTTAGAGCTGTTTTATTCTCAGCCCTCACACAGATCAACTGCCAAGAGACATAACAGCAAGAAGAAATTAAATACTCCTGGAAACAGCTTTTGATTTGTAATGCAGTATAGTGAGAAATGCTTTTGCTTCCAGTATTGAAATAATACTGCAATATATTTTGCTTGTAAAGAGTAGCACAGGTGTATTAGCAATAAATGTGCTGACAAGACCTCTTAAATCTTCTAATCCCTTCACACTGTAATTAGAGGCCATACCAGGCCACAAACTAAAAAAACAAAATAAACCACTAAAATAGAACTGTTAGACCATGGGGTTTTTTTTTGTATTGTCTTTGTGCAAGTTCAACTAAGAAGTACTAAAATTTGAAATGCATCTGCAGTTGAGCCTAGACACTGTTAGTTCTGCTGCAATGTATAGGCACCTTTTTGTGGAAATGATCAGGCTAGCTTCAGAAAAAACACTGTTTGTGTAGAGAAGATTGAGTGGTACCATCCAAATTTGTCACAGCAGGTGGAAGAGGAAACTATGTCTACCATCTTCATCCTCATCCCATAAAAATATTGTGTGAGAGGATGTTCAAGCCACACCAACCACATTATTCTCAGCTGCTGGAGTTGTCCAGGTTCCTTCTTTGCATTTTGACCCAGCTGCAAATACATACTTTTTGGAAAGACTATAAATCCACATAGATAAATGAGAAAACTGTTCTCCTAATTATCAGTTTATAATTTTAAATATAATTTCTAATCTGATTAGAAATTATCAGAAATCTGATAATTTCAAGCAGCTGTGTGGTAGTACTGCCTGCCCAGTATGTGGGAGCAACATTGAGAGCTCATAAAAGAAAGTCTTCATCTTTCCTTCACCCAGAATTAGTGCCTCAGCATTTAGAGATACTTCTTTTCAGCAGTTTTTAATTTTCTTCCATGACTTTCATCCCATATTGTCATCCCCTCTTACCCATTTTTTTCACTTTGGTACTGATTTTGTGGGAACTTGGCCTCCTATCCTAGCCACACCATCAGTATGCCTCTGTCCTCAGCTCCTTGGTTCATTTTAGGTATTTCTCAAAGTGAGGAAAAGTTGTAAAAAACTCATAAAATAACTTGGTTTTGAAAAATAAGAAATATCTAAGAATTAAATATAAATATGTTCTCCTCAGCTCTTTCAAATGCACTTAAACTTGGATTAGCAAGAAGATTATTATAATATTTTCCTCAAATTTAAGGAGATCCTTTTACATTTCACTTTCAGTTTTACTGAACAAAAGTCAAAAATTACAAAGACTTCAAATAAGATCAAAATTCAGATATAGCATGGAGAAAACACAATTTGATGAGTAAAAGTACACTTAAACCTCATGCATGACTTAGATGAGGAAAATTCACAACTTACTCTACCAGTTACTCCTGACAGGCAGAATTTTCCTATATGTCTAGTTTTCTGTATGGTTTATCTACTTATTTCAAAGCAAGGCTTTGAAGAGTTTGATAGGTGTGGATACACGATGCTGGAATGGAAACAAACTATATTGCTCCAGTTAGTGACAGCAGTAAATCAATGATTAATTCATATGAATGAATTTCAGATCAAATAAATCAGTCAAATTTCCTGGTTGGGAATATTGACCAGAATAATAAAAAGGAATCTCTTAAAGAGAGCTTGACATGAAAAAAATTGTATTTGAATGAATATAAGACTGCATTAGTTAATAATTTAAAATTGTTCCAAATTGCTTAGACAAAGTCGCCTTTCCATCTGTTCTCACATTGTACTTAAGACAAAGGGTATGGAATCATAAAGGGAAAAGTCCTGATTCAAAAAGGCCAAGTTTCATATTTTTTATACTGATTTGGGGAGAAAATGTATTTACTTCACAAAACTACAGTATTATCCCTTAGCTGAATAGTTTGAACTAAGACAAAAATGAATATCCTGTATGTATAAATATGTTAGGACAAATATTGAAGTGAAGATTATGATTAAAAACCAGTTTGCTTTTTACACCTTGGCTGCATTTTAGTTTACGTGTAACTTTCAAAACTTTCATACAGAAAACCTGAAGCATTGAAAATCCTGGAGCCTTTCAGAGTCACACTCTTGTAGTTAGGATGAGGCCAATAGACTGTTGTAAAATATTTAGCCAATTTTATTTAAGTTTGTATATTGTGGGTACTAGCTTTTTAAAAAAAAAAAAAATTATTGAAGAAGCCAGGAGAAACTGCAGTGGGACCTGGTTCTGTGTTGAAGAGTTTTGGGTTTTTTTGATTGCCTCAAGTGATAATCACAGCTGGAATGACTATTGAATGTCAGGCAGAGATAAGGTCTTAAACATTATACTGAGACTGGTTTAGTTGGGTTTTTGTTTTTTTTTTTAAAGATGATCTAAAATTTCATTTTATTATAAATGGAAATAAATACATTATCATATGGCACTTTATGTATGTAGCTTGCACTGTAAGATCTGGGGAGGCCTGATATGTTGTTTGTGGTTAGGGGTGCTTTAGACTTTTTCTTCTAAGTAAACACACTTTTTTCATATAATAAATTATACTTCCTATTCTGCAGATTTTTCAAATTTATAGCATGGGACTTGATGTCAGCAAAAATACATACTAAAAACATTAACAACAGCAACAAAAAAAAAAAAAAAATAGAAAAGAACTGTAGACAGGAACTGTTTCATCATATGTACACATGTACTAACTATTCCAAGCTTAAGTTTCCCAAGAAATTAAGGTCAGCTGTAAAGTTTTGGTCACAGGATTACTTCAATCCAAATGCATTATCCAGACAGCTGTAGTTTGTCTTATTATGCTTTGCTATCATCTTCTTTTGACTGGATGATGTCATTAGCAACTTTGATTTCTATGGTTTCTGGATTTAAAGCTTCTTTGCCATTTTCCTCCTTTAGTGGCAGCTTCCTATCAGGAAAAAAAAGAGGAATCATGGTAACACAAAAATAAAACAATCTGTAATTTAAGTCTATAACATATATACGGTTCATATAGGTCACAGTGTAGAACAATAGTTGGTTTTTTTTTTAAATAATGTATAGTTATTTTATCATGAGCACTGAGGTTCTCTGCTTTTAAAGCAATCCATATTAACTTTCCTTTTCTATAAAGCCACAAAAAACACGTGATAAGAACATCAGTGCTGCTCAAAATGCAGTTCTTCAATAAGACAAAGAAACCAAATTACTTGACCCAAGACAGAAAAGAGGTATGTGTTGGCTAGGATACTGTGAAACACTTATACAGTCAAGCTTTTTGCTTGACTTTTAAATCTCAATTAAACTCTTTTTAATGCCTTTTCTAAATGTAAATTCAATTGTATACCAAAGAACACAGCTATTATTGGAGATTATGCCAAGTCATAAGTAAAGAATTTCTTATAGTGCAGGAGGTAATGGAAGTTATCATTATTCTACAGTTTAATTTTCATGGATCACACAATGTAACATCATTAATAACTTACAGGTCTTTTAAGACTTAGTGAAAACTCTGAGGATTTGGCAAAAGAGTCCCCACCCTCTTGAATGTGATCTCATTGAAAAAGGTCTTGAAAATCATTGATTCCCTTCTGCCAGTAATTAGCTGTCGAAAAATAAAGCTGTCAAAAATATGTATGGTTTACTGAGATATTCCCGTAATAATGTCTCTTGGGCATAATAGCTCTTAATCATTATTCCAGTTTGGCTTTGCTTTGGTTTTTTACTAGGGAATAGTATGCATATGCCTGTTTTATTCATAATAGCTGTTAAATGTTTCAGTAAATTTCTGCTTTGCTTGATTAGATGTCCCACTCTTCAAAACCTGTCTGAGGAATCTTGTAGAATTGTCTTATTACAAGGCAGTGTTTAATAACAGAAAATAAAACAAAACAATACCTGAATTGCCAGTCTTATGAATTTTAAGTTGTCTGAAATGAACTAAGAAAGATTCTGTTTATCCAGAAGTTAAACAATGAGCACAACACGTATCTGAGAGAAATCAAAGATTAACTTGTTCTACTACAGTGAAATACATGGGATATATCATCAGATGTCTGGCTCTGAGCACAGAGGGAGGTATCTACTAATTGTCTGTTTCTCATGGCAAACCCAAAGGAAACAGATGCCCACAGCAAGATGCCTGAAAGAATGGAAGCAACAGAATCAACATAAATTTATTTTTAACAGAAGGTAAAACACTGGGGCAGAGGAAAGGCAGCTCATGAGACACATTTTTGGTAGGCAGGCATATGTGTCAAAGATCTGATTAGGCAAAACAAGTACTAAAAAACCCCCAAAACCTACTTTAGTGTTAAGAAAAGCAGAGTGATTTCTCAAAAGATGGTGCTGGAAAGAAGGAAATATTTACTCAAAGTCAAAACTGGAGAATTGACAAAATATGTTGTGTGGAAATTTAAAAAAATTAGTTTAAGTGGATTACGACCATGTTACAAAATACTTGAAATAGGAAGATTTGCTAGAACCCTGTTGAAGGATATTGGACATTATTGAAATCCATGCTCATGCAAAGAGTGAGATAAAATTAGCCTTGATTTTACTTGCAAGCAGAGAACCCAACTCAACAAAAGCACAAGTAAAAAGTTCTATGCATCAAAACTTTCCTCATCACAAAGTCTGTGCACCATTCTTAAACCTTATTGTACTTTAAAACTTGTGGTTTTGAGTTTTTTTTTTAATAGAGTGTGAGTTATGAATGCAAATTATCATTAGACATTCTTCTTTTTTTCCCCATGACAATGTTTTTGTTATTTTGGAATTTTTGTTTCTGTTTGCTTTAAATAAATATTTAATCTCTATCAATATATTAAACAGTTTTCCTCTTTCACTTAACTATTTCAAGTGTAAGTGTTCTAATTATGCCAATTTTTCTACATCAAATTTTTCTTTAGCTACATCTATTAGAAAGAATTTTATATTTTTCAGCTGAGCAGACTAATCGTTTTAAATGTTTATTCATTTTATAATAAAAAGATTTTTTAAAAAATCCAACAAAAATGCAACACAAAGTTCTCTCACTTTAGTCAGATGTTGGCTGCTATCAATTATTAACAATATTGACTTCCTCTAGCACTGCATGTGGCCTAACATCAACAGTCTGCTGGTACCCATACAAAACTTTAGCTTAAATATTTACTTTTTTATTTTATAGAAAAATTACTCCTAGCCATTTTGATACTGGAATTCACCCAACTGCATTAATAGTAATAAAAAAAAAAAACCAACCAATATTAGAAAGATATTAATGCAGACTAGGAATATAAATATTGTACCACATTGTATGTGGTATGTTATTCATATTACAAAAGTGTGATATCCAATGCACAGTTTAAACTGATTTCCTGCCAGCTTGATTAAACCTGTTGACTTGCAGGTAATGTGCTTTGAGCTAATCTCTGTCATACATGGATTCCAAACATGGTTTTGGTGAGGATCATCTGAGATAAGGTAAAAAAATTGCCAAATAACATACCAAGCAATATAATAAATAATATTGTTGTAACAGGAAGTAGTTCCCATAACTTCATAAATTGCATTTGAAATTCTGAGTGTAATTTTCTATCATTCAACATAATTCAATAATTGTTAAAAATATTTTATCTAATTTAACCTCAAGGCTTATCTTGTATACCTTCAAGACAGCCAGAATTAGTCATAATGAACCCCACCTTGTTTCACTGCCTCCCAGAAATTTCCTTGAAATTTTCTTTCCTGCAAGCTAAGCTCTCCCCTCCAAGATCCCTTCTGGTCATCCTCACCCTGCCCAGCACGTTTCTTTCTGGCTGTTGTTGACAATGTATTTTTGTGTTATTAACACGAGAGACTGACTTCTCCTCTACTGCATCTTCCCTTTGTTCATCTCACTCCTACTTTATACTGCTTCTCTGTTTCATTGGGTGTGACCTCTGGCTGAGTCAAAGGTCTTTCCATATTCCCCTGGTATCAACGGCCCTTCAGGTGTCCCATTACACCATCTCTTTTCATCTTTAGTTTCCCAAGTGACACTGTCCCAAATCTTTAGCTCACTTCTGTACAGCTGTGCTTTGGACTGCTGACACCTTTTGCCACTGGTTATGAGGGAAGAAATTACCAAGAAAGAAATTGTCATCGTTATTAATATCTCTTAGCAGTCCTATTTTTCCAAGAACATAATGCCCATCAAATACTTACCAGTTCCTGGCAGTTATTTTTTCAGGGGTTTTTGTTGTTTATTTTTTTGTTTTGTTTTCTTCTGTCATAAGAGTGGGGACTGATTCTTTCCCCCTCCCCTAAGATAATAAAATATTTTTGATTTTAACTTTCTCATATTTCACTCCTGTCAGCTGATCTAATGACTGTGACAAGCAGAAAGAAGTGAACTGGATCTTTCATCTTTCATGCAAGATGCATCTGATTTGCAAGATCTAGTGCTAAAAACAGTCTTGAATCATAAACAAACATGATCTGGTGCTTTACCCACTAATATATCCAAGGCTTGCTGGTCTTGTCCAATGTTTGCTACATTCCCCTAACTCTTTAGATAACTGTGGGCTTTCCACTGTGCCCCTGATTATAAATTCTAATATGAAAAGCAAACATATCAGTAGTCATTCAACAGATTGCATAATTATTTCATTAACAAGTTCAAACTCTTTGTGCACAGCTTCTTCAAAGAACTATACAGCTTAACGTGCAGATACTTAACTCCTTATTTACTAAAAATATCAATGACAGCTGGTAGCAAACCTATTTTTTAATTAAAGGTTCTGGCTCTTACAGTTTTACATAATGACAAAAATTGAAATTTATTCATATTTTCAGAAAAGAAAAAGACTGTTTTGTAAGAACACCCTCTCCTTTTAAAGAACCATGATTTCATCAAATTATCAACAGGTGAATTTCTGTATTTACTATATAATCATCTTCATAATCTTGTTGCCTTGAAGATGTCATGAGGTAGGAGATTTTCCCAACACCTGGAAATTGTTGGGCTCAAAGCAAAGAAAACTTAGAGGTTTCTTCAGTAATTTCATCCCTGGGCAAAAGGTAGTGCCATTATTCAGAAGGCAGCCAGAGCCTGTGAGCATGGCTGCAAACTGCTGTGTTTTCAGGGTTGCAGGGACAGGAAGGGGGGATGAAGAAATGGAGCAGAGGCTGCCCTTCAGCACGATTAATCTAATTACACTGTGTGGACTTAAATACCCAACTAAGTTCTCAGTTACATATATGAAAGCAGGAAGGGGCCACTCTAGTGAGGAGCTGGGTTTCTGGAGCACAGTATCCTTGTGCCCCATCTTCAGGATGTGTGTGAAGATGCATGTGAGATTCAATTTAAAGTAATTTGTGAGAGCTAGGAGATTGTTCCCACAGGATAATTAATAATTGCTGGCTAGGTGGTAAAGACAAGGTGCAACCAAATTAAAAAATCTTTGTACTGCTGTGCTTAGCCAGTGTCAGTGAAGTACCATGATTTAGATTGATTATTGTAAAAACCAAAGCAATCAAACCAACTCTACACTCACACACTTCCTTGCAACAGCAGACTATGGTGATGCTGTGTACCTCCCCTCAGAGTGTGGGAAGTCTGGTCTCTCCACACAGCCAAGATCAGTTTGTGTGAAACTCCAGGGAATATCAGGCTACTTACTCTGGTTCTGTGAGGGGAGTAGTCTCATTTGGCTCATTTACTGGACTCCCATCTTCATGACTGGTAATTCTTTCATCCTCTGTTCTCATTTCCACTATTGGCTCTTTTGATCCATCTTTCCTAAAAATTATTAAAAGAGTTTTAGTCTCTTATCATCACATTAACTACGTACATTGCACATAAAGAATTACTAAGATCCCCTCTCTCAAAAGTTGGCAAAAAAAGGCAGAACTAATTATCAGTGACTAACACCACCAAGACACATTTAACAGTGTGTTCCCAATTCCTTGAAGCCTTCAAAGCATCCTGTATCCATGGTTACTTCCCTAACCCTGTAAACATGATAAATTAGCATCTCAAAAGAGCGTTTTGTTTATGACTAATAATAAGGTGACAGCTTCTTCATGGGAATAGATGTAAACTTCCCTAATCTAGTATAATAATGATTGGTCTTGATGTCTAGTTATACTTGAACTTTTCTGGCTGCATTAAAGAGCCATTATATGAGCATATACAGCACAAAAGTGTGCTTTAATCTCCTGGGATTGTGACAACCCCAGCTGCCATCAATGCAAAGAGCTCTTGTGTGCTAAAAATCCAAGACCTTCTGCTTTTGCTGGTAGAAAAAACTGTTTCTACATCATACTTCCCCCATTTGAGGAACAACTGCTAGCCTCTCACAAGTAAGCAAATGTACAAATATTGTGCTAATTAAACAATTAATTATAAGGAGATGGAGCAGTGAGTGCTGTCATTATGATTTTGTTGGCAACCAGAGTCATAGAATAGTTTGGGTTGGAAGGGGCATTTATAGGTCATCTAGTCCAATGCCCCTGCAACTAGCAGGGACATCTTCAACCAAATCAGGTTCCTCAGAGCTTCATTCAGTCTGACTTTGAGTGTTTCCAGCAATGGAATGTTTACAACCTCTCTGGGCAACCTGTTCAAATGTTTCACCATCCTCATTGTAAAACAGATTTTTCTCATGTCCAATATAAATCTACCCACTTTCACTTCAAAACCATCATCACTTATCTTTATAAAAATCTGTCCCCATCTTTTTTCATAAATTCCCTTTCAAAAGGGTGCAGAAAAGTCTTTATCTCAGCCTGACCTCACAGAGTGCTCCATTCCTCTGATCATCTTTGTGTCCTCCTCTGGACTTGATCCAACAAATACATGTCTTTCCTTTACCAAGGACTGCTGAGCTGGATGCAGCACTCCAGGTGAGGTCTCACCAGAGCCGAGGGGCAGAATCACCTCTCCTGAACTTCTAGTCATGCTGCTTTTGATGCAGCCTGGGACACCTTTGGCTTTCTGGGATGTGAGCACACATTGTTGGCTCATTACCAGCTTTTCATGAACTAGACTCCCCAACTCCTTCCCTTCAGGGCTGCTCTCAGAAATATGGATGTGATCTGGAAATATCTGTTTACTGCCACAAAGTATTAACAATACATAATAATTAACAATACTTATTTAAAGTAATAATAAACTTTTATGCAATTTTGCTCTCAAAAGGCAGATCAGATGATAGCTGATATATATATAGATAGATATATAGATAGTTTGTTTTTATATTATTTTTTTTTTATTTTTTTTTTTTTTTTTTTTTTTACCAAAAAACTCTCTTTTGATGAAAATATTTTCTTCCTATATCCTGGAACAGCATCAGCTGCAGTGTACAAACAGAGGGTAACTGAGTTACGATTACTTTTATATTATTAGATCACTTAGATTTATTTATTCTTTAGAATTTTTAATTTAGATTCTTTTCAGGACTGGGATGTTGTAGGGAGCTGTTAGATTGCTACAGGCCACACCAAAGACCTGGCTAAATTCTTCTCTAATTCATGTCTCACATTTTCATATTGTTTCTTCAAGATAATGGATAAAACAGGCTGTTGCAACAGGAAGTATCAGGAAAATTCTACTGTACTCTGACAGGTATCCTTAAGGAAAATCTTTGTAGGTTAATAAGAATGTAGCCCAGATAGAGAAATAGAAGAGAAGAAGAATTAATAGGCGAAAAAATCTAAAAATATTCTAAAAGTCTAAAAATCTGATAGGTAAAGAAATCTAAAAGATTTCTGTCTATTAAAAAAAACACCCCAAAATTGCATGTGCTTATTTATTTCTGCAAGTGACACACAAATGGATACAAAGCTCATTTTGGTAGATGATGCACTTAACTTTCATGCCTACTTCATACCTGGGAAAACACTAGGGATCTAAGTTGGACTGGTGGTGGATTAGTGAGTTCTTCTTGCTTTGTTGATACATCGACAGTCTTACAAACAGTATTGCATGACAAAAGGACTAAAAAAGGATGTTACTTGTGACCAGCAGGTATATTTACAGAAAGTAGAAACTGTAGCATTTCAAATTTTAAAGAAGGGAAAGTGATTTGTAGGAAATCCATTATGTCATGGGTGTCTGTGTGTGTTACATGGATTATATCATCATCACTCATTATGTATAGTACATATATAACACATATGTACATATATGTATCTCCTACAATTAAAATGTAACCAAGAACCATATCATAAACCACCCAAAAATCCAGAATGCAAACTAGCATATTTAAAGCAGAGAAATGTCAGTGAATTTTTGGGCAATATCTGTTACCATGATATAAACTTAAATGTTGACTCTTCAAGTATGTCCTGGCAGTTCAGTCTGACAGTTTATTAATGCAGAGAATAGGCTAAAATGAGAACTGTCCCAAATATTTTAAGGTCTGACTGACTGAAGACCATTCTGGCAAGGAAACAAGTATGATTAAATAACATAGTTGTTTTTGCAAAAGAAGTGCAACAGAAGAATTAATATCAAGAGACGAGCTCAGAGCTTTTTTCGGACAGCATGGAATGGTATTTGGTAATAAGATGTTGATAACAAGGTATAAACTGCTGTCAAGTGACATTTCCAACTTTATCTCCCTAAGGTCCTCTCATTTAGGAGTGTCTGTACACCAGTTTATAGTTGGCCACTCCCTGAATGGGAAATTTAAGCATAAACTGAAGTGCTGTGCTCAATAGGAAAGGACAGCTCAGTCAGTGCCAGAAGCTTCACATCTTGATTCTATTGATCTGGACAGACTGGCTTCACAGGATGGAAAAAACACAGCTAGTCTTTCTCTCACTGTCAAATGTGGAGAATTAGGAAATAGCTACGTTATGTAATTTCTTCTATTTAGAAGCATTGTAAATACATTTGTGCCCTCTCACAATTGGTTTTGTTCTGTGGAGCTGTTTCTGAAATGGTACTTATTTTAAGAAGAACCCAACCAAGATGTGTAGCCAAGTTATCTAAGAAAGACACAGCCTGAAACCAAAAGGCCAGAATTAAATCCCAAAAAGACACTTACACCTCCACTACTCGCAATGGAGACACCTGCTCAGCTATGAATAATGAGGATTGCAAGATTTAGGGTGCTCTATATCCATCTGAAAATGGATGGGGCCTAGGAAGCTGAAGGATAATGAACTGTAAAGTCTGACTATTGCAAGAGGCACATAGCAGTTGGACCAGCAAATGTTATTTAAACCACACGCAGACAGCACTCTTACAAATATTACAGTGCATGTGTAAGTTGCCTACCAGATGAACAGGATGAAAAAATTATAGTTTTTTTCTAGGAGAAAAAAAAAAAAGGGAAATGTTTAAAATGAAGGACCATATGTAATCTTCTTTCTAGTTTATATGTTGAAAACTCAGCAAATGTTGCGTCTCTAAAGTGTGATTATTTTATGTAATCAGTACTTGGTCTGTTTTTGCCAGAGATCTCACTATCCACTCTAATAATTTAAGAGACCATATTTTCACCAATGATCAGTTCATTCACATTTGTGTGATGGAGTAGCCACTACAAAAGTGTATTTGTGAGAATCAGTATTGATTATTTCCCACTCATGTTTCGCAATCTTTGACTGTTGCTATAAAGAACAATCACTCACCACCATTTCACCAGCATCCAACTCAGAACTCCTATTAAAAAAAAAAAATCTACAAGATCTTTCATTTCTAAAGTCCACAGACAAGAATCAAGGTTTTCCATCAAGTGCTATATCTAAGAAGAAAAACTCTCTCACGGATTTTCTATAATACCATGTCCTTCACTCCTGGATTTACTGGCACTGTCACAGCCATAGGCCGAGTTTCTGGGTATTAGCAGCTCAAAGAGGGATTTGCAGAAATGGAGTTACAATGATCCATTACCTGCTTCTCACGAACCAAATCTGTGTCTCCAACTAGTACTGCATTACAATTGATTTCCTTTGTGTCAAGCTGGACAAAGAGGTCATCCTAAACTGAGCTACAGTATATTTCTTTTTCATGTCTCAACTTTTCTTTTAAAGGCAATAAAAAACTCTACACACTTCAGAGAAACACTTTTCCAAGTAGTAGAAGCATTTATTAATTCCCTTTGTGACACCACAAAACAGCCATACAGTTAATATAAGTTGGACAGCCAACTTCTTTTTTTTAAGGATGTTTCCAACCCATGTGATTAATACTCACAAGTAAGCAGCTTTTCCTTCTTCCAGTTCTTTACTTTTTCCACTTGAACCACTCTTCTTCCCACAGATTCTCCTGGTGATGCACATGAGCAATCCACATTGCCGTACAAAGAAGCAGCTAACATCAGTCACAACCAGGATTAACAAAAGGGCTGCCACTCCCAGGCCAATGACAGCACCAAGTCCAAGACCATTAAAAAGAGTGTCTTCAAGGAAAGAAAATTGAGATGTATTAATAACACTAATCCTAAAATATAGTTTTCTAAGCTGTTAGTCAGGAGAGTAAAGAATGTTTAGGAATGAACCATTTAGAAATTATTGGAAATAAACAGTCCTGATGATTAGGCATATATAGTACCTGATTGAAATCACAAAAAATCATTTCTTCTGCATAATATTTTCTAATTGCCAAAATTCCAGTAAGTTCAAAAAACATAAATGTCATTAATTAATAGCAAATAATATCACACCTTAACATTCCATGACTAAGAGTATCAATAAGCAGCCTAAGGAAAATATTTTCAATGTTCAACATGAACATTGATATAAGTTATCTTTTCTGCATTTCAGATACACCTAATTAGTAGTGGTGCTAAGCAGAATTACTGAAATTTTGAGACTTTTTTTAGTTTATTTTTTACAAACCAGTATTTATTCATGTAATTTTCTGGATTAGAGTGAAAAATAACTTAATTCAAGTTATTTAATCTGAAAACAGTTGCATGCACTTAGTCTTAAATAATTTAATATGGGGAAAAATATGTGTATCGTCAAATGATTATAGGGTTAGGACCCCATTTGTTTAGTCTTGTACCTTGAAAATACAATCATTTCAACACTTCAAAATAAACATAGTCCACACCTGATCTTGCTTTCTGTGTTTGAATTTTGAGAGCTGATATTTAGTTAATTTTACTTCATTACAAATCTCAGGAAAAATATTTTAATGTTTTGCCTCAGTTGATATTCCCATGACAGCAGTGCTACAAACACTTTTGAATCATGTGATTCTCAGGAGTCTGTGAATTCAGATGAGGCTTACAGAGGAATGGATTTGTATCTGATCATTGTCTAGGGGGAAAAAAAGGCTCATGCACTCATCTAATTCAAGAAGATGACAAACTAACTCAGCTATTGGCCAGTGACAATTTCCTGGTGTGAGACTGTGCTGAGTAAACCCCAGGGAAGTGGAGCTGGGTGAGTTTGCCCATGGGGGCTGCACACCAGCATTGCTTCCCTGGCGCTCCTATGTCCTGGAGTGATGCCTGAGCCAGCACCACTCACTGGGACATTTCCATCTGCTGCTTTGCCTGTTGCCAAAATAAGGGCAAGATTATTCTGACCAGAGATTACTTGAATGCTGTTGTAACAGACACCAAACAATTGCATAATGTAATATAATATAAATATTTCAATTGGGTTACTAATATCATCCTCTTGTTTCTCTTCCAACTCCCCTATACACTATAGATTGTTTTCAGATTAAACACAGATTTTCAGATTTCTGCTCAAATAATTTTAATGATAATATCTTTACCATTTCAAATGTAATTTGAACGTTATCCTAAATCAATAAATATGTATTAATTGTCTAGTCTTTGTTTAGAACTTTAAAATGGAAAAGTAAAAACTTTTTTCAAAAACAGGGGAGCATTTTACTTCTTCAGAAATTGACTTCATTGTCTATTGTATGGGTTGTTTTATTATAGAAATGATCTTCACAATGTTATTATACAAAAAGCTAGAATTCAATGTAGATATTTCCATGGATGGATAAGCAGAAAAACAGACATATTATTTCCTTTGTTCAGAAGGAGTTAAAAACCACTACATAAATTATAAAAATAATGGTGCATCAATGAAATGATTTATCACTTATGCATTGCCCCATCAGCAATGTCAGAAGTTGATGTTTTAAATTTTTTTTTTTAAACAACAGCATTTTTATTTAAATATTATACTTTCTGATACATCTTTCAAAACTTATTTTATTCCTATATCCACCCACATTTGGTGAATTCCTTTGTAAACCTTCATTTTATTTTTTTTTTTTGCAGGTATGAATTGTCAGAAAGATACAAGTGGATATCTAAATCCAGTTTATTAAAAAGCTCATATATTTCAATTGTCATAACACCAGTAAATTCTACAGTCAGCTTTAAAGACCTCACACAGCACATCTCTGTACCTTCTCAACCATCAACTGGAATGGGAAGGAGAAAAATTAGGGTGATTTAATCCGAATTTTGAAAGAAATTCAGGGTTTTTTTACTGGTTTAGTTTTAGGAGTTTTTTTCTTGATAAAGTGTTAAAAAGTTTTTACTGTGAAGAGACACATTTTCCACTGCTGTGAACAGCACTTTCAGTGTCCTTGGAACATTGTGAAATGGCAAGGTTCTCATTCTAAGTGATCCAGTGGCAGAAATGACTACCTAGTATCTTCACTGGTGAGCAAAGGAAATGTTTACAGTTGCAATATTGCTCCTTTGTTTTGCCATCCTTGCGTGGGATGCTCTGTTTTTAAATTCTTAATTTTCCTCGTGTGGGTGAGACATCTGAGACACAAGTATTTGATTGCTGCATATTTCTCCATCTCTTCATGGCTGATGATTTCCTTTACATTCAGCATTCCCCATCCTTGCTCTCCTCTACCAGTCCTGAGTCATTTTTTTCCTGCTTAAAACCCTTTTGTTCCTGCAGGTTTCTGTTTCATAAGTCTGATTACTTAAAATTGTCAACAGTTTTCCAACATTTCTCTCCTTTCCCTCCTGCACCCCAAAGGGTAAGAGTAACGTGGCCAAATCCAGAGGTGACGTGAGGAGCATGGCTGTGATCTGCCTTCTCACCTGGCTGAGGATCTTATGTCCTTCTTCTGAAAACAGATAGAAACTGGGCAGCCTTGTTCTTTAAATCGACCTGTATTATGGTTTATCTTTAATCTTAATGAAAACGTACAAAACTATTTTTTTAGAAGTTGTTCTGTGGCTTAATTCTGTTCTTTATTGAATTGCTTTGATTTTGTACTTGCCTATCTGCTCCCACCAAAGTCAGCTGTAAAACTAATCCAAATAACTATTAAAGCAAATTAAGGCCTCTCCTCACTGGTTTCAAAAATCATATCTTAATATACATGTAATTTCAAACCAATGTGAATTTTTTTCTATATATGTTATGACATCAACAGAAGTTTTAATTCTGTGACAGGATGAAATATTAATGTCATACTACAAACAGTGTTCTTACCAACTTTGACGAGCAACTTTGTTATCAAAAAGTGCCTTAAATTAAGTTAAATTATTACATTTTGTTATTATAGTTGTATTATAGTTATAGCTGTATTATAGTTATATTATAGTTATATAGTTATATTACAGAAGCTATTTTAAATTTTTGGGGTTTTTGCAGCTGCCCAGTAAGTACCAAACAAACTCAAAATAGTAGTTCTACTTTGTGCTCTAAAATAATAAAGCATTTACCCATTATATATTTTTTTATTTTCCTAGCTGAACAAAACCACTTTAAATCTTAAAAATTCAATGTTAATGTGAAAGAACCAGTTCTTAGAAACTTTTTGAAACTGTTTATTGTATACCTGACTTAGTCATCTAGCTATAGAGGGCCTTTTAAAACAGTTGTTGAAAAGAAAAAAAAACAGGGAAGTATAAGTTCCATAGTTCTGAATGAGTTTTAATTGTAATTTATTAAAAATATGCTAAATTGAAAAGGATATGTTTTTTTTTTTATACAGAATATGGCACAAGTAATGTAATACCTTGACATGACGATGAAGGGAACTGATAACTTTAAAGACACTTTTTTCACCCACTTCTTCAAATAAATTATCATCAATGAATACTTATGGAAATAAGATTTAAAAACTTCCAGAAATGTAAAAAATAAGCTTAAAAAAAGCCAAAAGCAAGTTTCTACAAATGTCATCAAAAGTTTTGGCAATATTCAAGTTCTTCCTATTGAATAACTTATGTTTCTAATGATTTCTAATGAGATAATTGAACATTTCTTCAGGAATCATTATTTGATGAGAAAGAGGAAAGAAGAGCTTTGGCAGCAAGTAAAATGAAATTTTCCAGTGAAAAGAACTAAGTGAAAAGATACATTTTCTGGACTCTTAAATATAAGTTCAGATTAAATTTCTGTAAGTGTTCTGCACCATATACTCTAAGGGAAGCAGGTCAAAAGGGAGAATCTCCATCTCTACATGTGTACAAAATCAGAGAATACTTTGGGGTGGAAGAGACAGTAAAGCTCATCTCATTACCACTCCCCTGCCATGTACACCTCCCTCTAGACCAGTTTACTCAGAGCCCCATCCATCCTGGCCTTGAACACTTCCAGAGTTGGGGCATCCAGAGCTTTCCTGGGCAACCTGTGCCAGTGTACAGGTCTGCTTCACAAATGGCAAAATAAAGCTTTTGCTTCTGCACAGGAACAAAACATGAAACATAAATATATTCAGACCAATGTTAAATGAACCTGTGTCCTTTGAGGCGACAGAATTTCTCTGTGCTCTTACAGAATCACATTGTATATACTCAACTACTTCTACAATAAAATAGTAACTTTATAACAAGCACTCCATGTGATCTGGGGGGTTCGATAAGGTGATGTCCAGATGTCCTTTTCACATCTTTAGTAATATTAAGTTTTGCTGGGGAGAAAAAAGCAAGTTAGCAACTTCTTTATTCCCTTCTCTCCTCCTTAGAAGGCATGGATTGAAGTTAAAATGAAAGAGAGATGATTACCCAAACCTCCCTTTTGCAGTAATTTGAGTTTTTAAGGAAGAAAAAGTAATGCTGTAAAATACTTTCCTAGCTTACAGGGCAACACCTGGCTGCTATAAATACATGGTGCAGAGTTATGATACATGGTTTTCCTTTCTTTCAAGACAGTCAGAAGATAAAGTAAACTGTTCTCAATCTAAAGTAAAAATTTGAAAATTATGAACCAACTAGAGAGTGAAATTGAAATATTGCCCTAGGTCATGGCAGGAAAAAAACATTCTTGCTTATCAAGTTGAACTACACTTTTGTATTGACTCTTAAAAATGTGCCCAACCATGACAGTTATTTCTGCACTGCCTCTGAATATTTTCTTTGATTTTATATCTGATCTGGAACTTTTCCTAGACTCAAAGTCTTACAAAATGCATATACTTACTCAAAACCTCTAAAAAGACAGAAAATAT